CATCCCCAGGTTTATGTTGGTATAATTTTTTTGTCATATTTATCAAAACTTTTTAAATTATGTTGAGTATTACTATTAAATACAATTTTTAAAAAAAAAATTTGTTTAGAACGAGAACGACGCCATTTTGCTGAAACAAGAGACGAAGAGCGATACAAAGTTCAAGGTCGTAGATATATACCTCATGGAGTCGGTGACCAACCACCATGGAGACCACATGGCAAACACCTGAAACCACAGTACACTGAGTGAGTACATAATTTAGCTATTTGCTGCCACCATAAATGTTAGACATCTTTAATTTGTCTGAGCAAAACAATTAAAGTCATTTTTATTAATCAAAATCTCATGTATGTCATACAATATAGATGATCAGATCAGATCAGAATGGAATTAAAATACTATAGTTGTACATGTAATTACAAATCATCAAAAATGTGTTATTGCTTTTGCATTTGCTAATATTAGTTGTTGTTTACCAATTTATTCATAATTAATAATTACATCATTTTTATATTGGGCTGTAAAAAACTAAGACTTACCTACAAACTTACACCAGGGATCTAGAGATTGTTGTCGGTTGAATGCAGCCAATTTAATAATATTCTGGCCATTTTTTGAGATTGACTCCTACAAGTAGCCTATTATGACAGCATGTCACAGTGACCATGGTGATTTTTTTTCCCCCAAGTGCTCTCAAATTATGACCAAGTGTAAAATCCTGTAGATGAACATTAAGCAGTTCACAATAAGTACATGGTGTAAGCAGTCAATCCCCAGGTCCATATAAAAACACCATTGTTGACACTATAATTTTAATCCAGCACATAATAGATCATTTCCAGTGCCTTAGTAACATTCTGCATTCTAAAGTAAGTGCAAAGTGCCATTTGTTCAGCAATAATAATGCATTTTAAACAGTAAGCCATGAGTGCAAAGTTATGTTTACAGAAAAGGATATATATTCTTATAATCTTAAGATTCAACAGTAATTAATTCAATTTTTAGTATTCAATCAATTCTAAATAGAACATTATTTTTATATCACTGGTATTACTAGTATGTAGATATAATATTCTTTTTTCTATTACTTAAAATATTCCGCAGCTCAGGAACTTAGCAATGTGCATGATAGATGGATGGACAAGTCAGAAATACAAAAAAATAATAGTATTAGTAAAAAAAGCTTTAAATAACCCACTATGACAGTGCTTCCAGTATGAAAGAAAAGTGTCTTTTGTCACATGATACTGAACATTCCATTGTTTTAATTTGAATGAAATTCTAAATTATGTATTTTTTTTCCTTTTCCAGGTATGGTCCAGATTGGCAATCCAGACTCCGGTACATTCCTCCTCCTCAAAACCCGAATGCCAAACCCATCATTAAATTCCCCGGAATTCGTTATTATCCATGTAAGTTGACAGCTGTAAAATACATTTTGGCCTACATAATTTAATGTACCGGTAATTAATTTTTTAACTGATTTGTGATGAGTTATGTTGAATAGATCCAGAAATAGGAAAGTCATCTCTCAAATATAATGGTATTCCAAATGTTCACACATTATGTCATATTTATTTGTTTTTTACATGCAATCAGATAGCAATGTCTTAGTATATGGTAAGTTCTCAGTGTGTGCATTCTAACAAGAAAATGTTTTTTTTTTTTATTCGTATGGACTCTTAGATATAGATTCTTATTTTATTATTCCTGTACTTCTTCCCTCCCTCAAAATAATGTTGCATATACACAAACCAAATACTGTAAAATACTTTATTTTAGCTGGAATTAATTTTCGATGAAAATACTTTTTGGGTGTTTTGTATGGAAATTATTTTCACTGATTTTTGGCGAGTTGAATGTAAAATATGGGAAAAAAAGGTATATTTGCTGGATTTTATTTTCACTGAATCGTTCCTTCAGTTAAAATAGCGAAAATTAATCCCAAGCGAAAATAACAATATTTTACAGGATACAAAAGTAGTTTTTGTATTTTGTTTTATTGATAATAGTTTTTTATATCTATAGCTCCTGAAATTTCATACATATTACCCAGGTATATGATACTGACCCCCAAAACCAATTGTATCGTATATTTAGTATTGTTCAAACTGTTGATAGTCCTATAGATGCCAATACATATAACCCTATGTCCCTTTCTACTCCTAGTAGCAAGTAGATAAACTCAACAGGCTAGGGCAGCCTATGAACAGTACATATATATTAAATATAGATCTTACTGAAAAATTAAACATTTTATTGTCCCCATTTTTATTATTATTATTTTCATTATTTTTTGTTGTTGACAAATCTCAGGCATAATGCATGTTATATAAAGGTGCATGGTCTTCCCTTTAAGTAAAAATTCAGAAAAATTCAAATAACAACCATAACAATAGTTTACCTTGTTGTTTTAAGTTACAGTAGATATTGGTTCATGGGCAATTGGGGGGGGGGAATTGTTTTTGGCATTTTTAAAAATACAGAAAACAAATGGACAGGTGCATTTAGCTGAATGTGTAGTTACTCATGTAAATCTAAACATAACTGGCTTTGTTTCCATGCACAGACAATACGTTACAGACCGATAAAGAATGGAGTTTTTATCCAGAAGGATACCACACTGGTAAAAGATGTGTTTTTGAAGTTGAAGACGTAAATGACGCCATACACATGTCAACTATCGAGTCAAGTAATGAGTTATCACACAAAACACTGTATGGAAAGAAAAGGCCCAGTAAGTATGGGCACTAAAGAGCATTTGTGGGCATTCAACTTAATAAATAATATCGAAAACATTATGTTCTTTTGTTTCAAAAGTGTTACATAGTTGTTAATTAAGACACAAGCCATCAATATTTGAGCTCGTTTCACACAGTAAAAAATATTTATTTGAAAAAAAATAGCTAAATTTGCTCTTTGTTACTATTTCCATAGGAATAAATAGTATTCATGAGAATTTGTCAATAATTGGGAAAACTAAATACCCACCTTATAACTATATATTATCATTTTAGTGTATTTTCATAGGTGTTTATAACATTTTTGTGCGAAAATTACATTTATTTCTGGATTTTGTTTTGCAATGGCATAAAATAAAATTTATGGAAAAAGTCAAGGAACTCTGGCTAAGGATAGGCTAAGTTTATGCTAGGTGTGACGTCTAAGTGTGCTTGTGAAAACGTTTTTGTAGTTACGGCCGTAACTAAAAATGTCACCGTCACACAATTAGGTTTTCTTTGCATACTGTTTGAACAGACGTAGATTGATGATATTGCCACAAATATCGATAAAGTGATATTTTACATTAAACAATGAACGATATGCACTATGGTCATGTGATATTTCACCATATACTACTATTTTATTTTCAGTTTGTTCTGTGTGGCAAGTCAGGGGAGGGTTACCTTGGGCATCTCCTGGTGATAAAAGCTATCAAGTTTGTGAATATTCACCGGACTTCCACAAATCTGGTTCCACCAGACCTGTTGTCCACTTTGGGTAAGTGAAATCTACTTCCTGTATCAGATTACAATTTGTATTTAAATTCAGTCTAATACTTCATTTTATATATTAGCAGATCATTCAAATGCAACATTTAATTTGGAAAATATGCATTTTTACCAATTATTCCTCTAGTGAAAACATATTACAAGTAATCTAAAACAAACTTATGCACAAGATACACAGCAATATGATTTTTGATTTTTTTTATTCTAAGAAACAGTTTTTATATAGATTTATGCCTTCATGCAGCAATCCATGTAATTTCATAATTTCAGCAAAGTTGAATTTAATGGTCAATTAATGTCATTTGTGTTCACAGCGGTGGTGAAGTGAAAGCAAAGCCAGACACCTTTGTACCATTACTAGACCTACCTCCACTAAGGTAAGATGAATTTCATTGCTTGTACATAATACCGTAAATCTTATTCACACTGCCAATTATTAAAAAGTACTGTTGCAACAGCTACCATACGTCATCAGACTTCTTCTATGCTATACAGTGTGAATAAAGGTGTTCCTTCTTGCCCTAGCAAAAATTAAAAAATTATCTGAGGACAGTTTAAATTTTGTTTATTTTTATATTATTCAACATTTATCATTTATTAAATAATGCTTTTGAATACATGCATTAAAGGTTGATTTCGATCAAAGAAAAGATCTTCTGAAACAGAAGACTAGACGAGCACACTTTACCAGTACTGGTATCTAAAATGGCAAAAAAACAAAAACAAAAGTGATGAGCAGAAAATCTTTTGAATGAAAGTCCAACACTAATTTCTAACCCAGAGTCTTATTCAGTCAATATCAACATTTATTTTGCAAGGATGTCAGGACAATATGTTTAAATTTTCTTTAGAGTGTAAAGCCAAAACAGGGGTTTTGCTTCTTATCTTTGAAGTAGTGCATTTTCATAAAATATTTCAAATTTTGATGAACACAACTATTTTGGAGTCAATGGGAAGTTACTTACAAGATTGTGCCTGATTGGCTACCCAATCCCAAGACCCAACAGTCAGACCAATCAGAGAGCAGCTTGTTTATTGATAGGTTTTTTCAACGAATCAAATTCTGCCTTGTATACATGCTTCAACTCGACTGTGAGACTAAATTAGTAGACATTGGTGGTGATTTTTCATAGAGAATTGCAGACAATTAAACCAACAATAAATCTTGTGTGTTTTCGTATTTTGCAAGTTATGCTAACAGTCTGATCTTCATCTCACATGTGTATCACGAGCCTGACGAGGTCGCGTGAGTTGCGCCCTCCACGGTGCTTCAAACCAAACACACGTCTGGCAGAAAGATGTATTTTTCCACTTCCCTTGACGATTTTTTTTTTGTCGGCACCAATCAAATTGCACGAACGCCGGGTAGTGATAGCCATCAACGAGTTTATTTGTTCGTTGACATGTGTGATAAAGTACTGGAAAATTCCCAGCCAATCATCTTATTGCCGACAATGCAAACACGGCTTTGACGGCATTGACCACCAAAGTGAATATTCATTGAACTCATTTCATAAAGTCGTGAACTTTGCAAATTCGCAGTATTGATCTTGCTGACGAGACATACACCATTCTGTCAGGCATGAGGGCCTACATGTCAGGCAAGTATATCACCATTAATATTCTTGTATCTGCCTTTGTTAATATCAACATTTGTTTTTTTGTTCATTTCCAGCGAAAGTTACACGATGAAAGAAAAGAGAAGACAACTCAGACAGGAAATGGATCTTGTTCAAAGTTTGGATAACTATCGTCCGTCATCACCATTAGTGCCACCTCCGCTACCAGACGACAGAAGACCCATGCTTACTTCCATGTACAACTAATGCAAACATTTTAACTTTTTTCAGAATCTTCTTACTTTATATATTAAAATTTGTATTTCATAAAAAAAATGACTATACTGCACATATTTGATATAAAATAAGCTTGTTTTATAACACAAGTATAATTTTACTCTATATGTGTATAAAATGGCGAGTTTGTGAATAATAAAGATGAATTTTACATATACTGCATTTACCAATTAATCGCTACAGTTGGAATCTTGGACACTGAAATGATTCACAGAACATCAAATTTAAGTTAATTGATAAAACTATGTTGAAAAATCATGAAATTACCACATTCAAACCTATGTCAGTGACCACGAACTGCTCATAGTGTCTACCTATGGACAGTATAAATGCAAATTTCAAGTGCCATCGAGTGACCTGAATATGAAGACCAAATGTCTATAGTACATTTAGTGCATGGTCGCTATAAACAAATTTGTAACAATATAGGACTGAGCTTTTCATAACATGGAGTAAATAAAATGTAACTTCCAATGTCTTAACTTTTGATAGAATCTGAAAATTGCATTGTTCCCGAACATTTGCATTCTCTGCGAAACGTTAGTAACGTATAGATTCACGTCAACAACAGAGGTATGTCTACAGTCTAAGGAAGTCATATTTTGGTGATCTACCAGACAATAAATGCAATTTTTTAGGTTTACGCTCTTGTAGAGCAATATTTTCAATGTTATTGCCTGAGGAATGCAGGACAAGGCGAAAGCATAACTGATGAGGGCTCACTTTCACATTAATCAAATGTACAATTTTGAGTATCCCAGATGAAGTAAATATAATAATCACAATCATAAGATTAGGAAACTTCGAGACATGTCACATCAGTTAAAAGTAATAGAAAACTTTTATTTTTGTTGTTGGAAATGTATGTACAATATTAATTTATTCGAATCTATGAATTTAATTACCTACAATGCAGTGGAAACAATTCAAAGCATGTAAAAATAATTAGAATGAAATACTAGTTACCGTAATATTATTTTTCAATCACATTAAATTTTGCCTCTCTCGCAAGACCAGGATTTGACCATAAATGAGAGAGTTACAGCACTGTAAGTGATAACTTAAAATGCCATTAAAAAGCAGGTGTTATAAAAAATCCCTCACAAAACAATGTTGAAACATCTAATATTGTGATTAATCTCTTTATACTTTGTACATAGAAGCAATGTTTGGTAAAATGGAGTGAAAATTTCTCTGATGAAAATCCTGATGTTAACTTTGTAAACCTACTTGTACCATACCTTGGGCCCTACATTGTTTTTGTATGAATCCAGAGGAGAGAAGTAAGAGTTAACAATGGATTGTATTCATTAGTAGTGTTCCTGCAATATTTCTACAATGTAATTGTATGGATTAGTCTTTAAACTTGAATTCTCGCTATGAATGGCGTGCAGAAAATCTCTCATTTCGTCTGAGAACACCCTAAAGTCTAGTAAATACCTAGTAGAATCCTGAAATTAAATTAGAAGGTTTTCTCACAATAAAGTAATGTGATCTTGAGTGATAAGTGTTCTCCCAAGAACAAGTGCATACAGTATCACCCAATATACATAACAATAGCATATGTTAAAGACTTCTATTGTATGCAAAATTGGTTCTATTGTTCATCCAAAATTAATCAGTTTGGAAGCCCTACATTATAATGCCTTGGTGAGAACCCTGGGATTACAACAATGCAATATTCTTGATGTCGATTAAACACCACGATCTTCCTCACTTTTCATGGTAGTTACAATGTGACAGTTCTACATGTGATACAAAGCTTTGGTTACAAGGTTACAAGTTGTATTCTTCGTGGCTTAGCCGCTGAAGTCTCAGGTTTATCCTCTGTCTTCTGTGATGGGGTTGTAGCACTGGTAAGCAGAGTTGGAGTAATTCTTTTTGGTTTTTTGGCAGAGGAATCTGAGATAGGAAATCATTATTTTGAATTAGTATATCAATAACATCACAAGTACAAGCATATTAATATAATTCTCATCAACAGCAGTGTTAACATTTGGTTTGGTCTAACGCTTGTGCCAGCAGATGAGCATTTAGAATTATGCATCACATATACAGCATTTGGAAGTATGCATCGCATATACAGCATTTGGAAGTATGCATCGCATATACAGCATTTGGAAGTATGCATCGCATATACAGCATTTGGAAGTATGCATCGCATATACAGCATTTGGAAGTATGCATCGCATATACAGCATTTGGAAGTATGCATCGCATATACAGCATTTGGAAGTATGCATCGCATATACAGCATTTGGAAGTATGCATCGCATATACAGCATTTGGAAGTATGCATCGCATATACAGCATTTGGAAGTATGCATCGCATATACAGCATTTGGAAGTATGCATCACATATACAGCATTTGG